ACTCTTTGTATATGATTAACAATTAACTTGATCGATCTTATGCCATTGCCGGAAAAAAATATGCTTATTTCGCTTTGGTTACGTTCTTCGTTTACTAATGTTCGTTTTGTTATTAGTATGTGTAAGTACAAAATATTGAGACTCACATTCATTCATTGTGCCTACGAGACGACTTCATCAACTACTTTCATAGTTGCCTGAAGATCTATTGCATCTATTGCAGTATTTACACACTTAAGAAAGTGTTGTAATTAATATTTCACACGGTGTTATTGTGTAAATCATAAGTACAGATAAGTTATGAATCTTTCGGGATTTAGAAGATCATTTTTATTTGACTTTGTATTACTTGGAGAACGTAGTATTTTCTCCCTCTTAGAACATCTCCAACTTTTGGGTTAAAAGTAAAACCTAAAATTTTTTACCAAGAAAATTTAAGTTTTAACCCGCAAACAATTTTTTTGGATTAAATTTTTAGCCCGAAATTACTAAAGAACGAATTTAGGATAATTTTTTCTCTTAAAGTAATTTTTTTTTTAAAAATAAAAAATTATGTAGACTATTCTAATTTAATTTTATGAACATTTTAACCTAAAAATATTTAGATTTCAACAAATATGAAAAAATTATTAAACCGACACCATGAAACATGAAGAACACTATAAATAAAGGCATTAAACATGAGGAATATCATCACAGAATTTCTCAAGCCTTTAAAGCAACTCCACCCCTACCAAATTGCCCAAGCAAATTGAATCTTCACACCGAAACTGAACTGCTAGGCTATTGGTATTAAAATGTTATTATTATTTTATAATATAATAAAAGATAATTTTATATTTAAATTTGGATAGGATTTTTAACCAATTTCATCACGCTGCATGTTGATATCCTAAAGTAAAATTTTTGTAGATAAATTTTTAACCAATTTCGTAACGCCACATGTCATGATTTTGTAGGAATTTTGTGGATAAATTTTCAATAAGATTTTTAACCAATTTCATCGTACCACGTGTCACTATTTGTTTAGAATACTTGTGGATAGATTTCGATAAGATTGTTAACCAATCACGGGATGACATATGTCAATATCTACAACCGCATCCTTTCTTTTTTCTCCATATATACCCTACATCCATCCTAAAAATCACACACCAAAATCAAAATCTTTTAGAATCCTTCTTCATAGTGTATAAATCTTGAGTTCTTAATGGGAGAGTAAGAGCATGAAGAACGTAGAATGAGAGATGATGAAACAAGAAGCGAGATAGCCTCACAAAGCCGTCGCGTCATGCCAACTGTAAAGGTAATCTCTAGACCCAGGCAGTCCGCAAACCTCAATTGGAGGGAACAACGAGGTAAGAATCTATTTGACAATTATTTAATCCCAGACACAAAGTTCACCTGAATCTATTCATAATCTACCCATTTTTGCGTTGTTTTCTTTTTTCCAGTTGTATTTTCAATGGTTAATTAGCTTTATCAGAGGCACATTTTCTCTAGTACTATGTAAAGAATAAAATAATTGTGAACAAATTCATTGATTTGGTATGGATACAGTACATAGGTGTTTATGTTCTGTATATAAATTGTGCAAAGCTACTGATAGGATTTTTAACGTCTATGGAAATAGGGTCAAAATCACATGAAATACTTGCAAGAATACAAGGATGTAGTATAGATGCTCATGCAAGGTTGATCTCCGCAAGGACTATTTTGATAATTTATGTAAAAACAATTCATAATCAGCTACTTAGAATTAATGACTTGAGAAAAGAGATTATGAAAGTGGGCAATATTAAAAACGAATTTTAATTTAAAACTAATATGACAAAAGAAAAGAGTTTTAAATACCAATTTATAATAACACTAGGGTTCCACCATCATCTAGCAATCCTACGAATTTCTACCAATTTCTCATGATTTACACATGCCACTTTGAAAGTTAGGTTTTCCTAATATATATTCTTCTCGTGATATTCAAGCAAGAACGTATATCTAACATGCAATATGCAATCCGTCTGTAATATTCAGATCAAATATGAACATGCAAAACTCATAAAGTTTTATGAAAACCTTTTGAAGAACCATGCAACCCTTAAGAGCATGATATTCGCCTTAGATGAATATTACGATCGAATTGCATCCAATCACTTGTCTAAACATCCTAATAGTGGCCAGTCATCAAGACAATTAGATAGTTTAAAACAGTGATCAATAATTCAAAGTGTGCATGCAATCAATCATAAGCAATTAAATAAAAACTACATATTCATGCTAAGACTCAAGGTTTCGCCCTAGCAAGAGGAATTAGTTACGCATATTCATAATTGAAATCATAGAAAATATTGTTAAGAAGAAAACGAATGAAAACACCTTAACGTAGAAAATCTCCAAGAACCCTAGTAAAGTTCTTTATCTCTGAAGTTGAATAATAATAAGCGTAGAGAAAAACTGTAGACGGCCAAGCAATATATTTGCTAAGCCATCACACTAACCCTAAAACATAAGTCTCTTACTCCAACTAGGAAACTAAATAATAATAAAATATCTTAAAAAATAAAGTCATAATTAAACTAGGAGAATCTGCCAGGTAACTGTACAGCCACGTTTTAGTCTCAGATATCCTCCAAATCTGGCCCATGATAGCTTGTTTTGAAGATCAAGATGTTCTGAACACATCTCCAGAAGGCCAAGAACCCATCCGAGATCATCTTAGGCTCAAAAAACGCAATTTAAGCCCAGAAACGTCATTTTTCAGCACTGCACATCGCTCATTTATTTTATCGCTAAAAAATAACTGCTTGGTGGAAAAATCTCAAATTTTAATACGATCAAGCTAAGTGACTCACAAACGTCTTCCCAACTAGAATTACTCCAAAATTCATCCATTTGACCACGTTTTGCTCCAGAGGAAGTAGAAAGTCCTATATTGAAAATACAATTCAAAATATCAAAATTCTTCCAAAATATGAATCAAAATATACTAAGAATAGGGTTAAATATATAATATAAAATTCACTTATCAGCTACCATTTCAATATAAAGGTTTTTGGGTTTGCCTTGGCTGGTTGAGCAGATTGGTGCAAGACATGAGGCATCTTCATTTTAACTAAAATTAAAAAAAAAAATGTAACTGATGTGTCCTAGCTATATAATCATATGACCATGATTGACATTAGCAGGAATGAATAGAGCAAACAATCAATAAAACTACAAAGGCTCTATTGTGGCATTAGCAGTAATGAAGGTCCCAAGTGTATACAAGTTAGTAGTGGAAGTTTTTTCTATTAGAAACAATAGTCCTTTAAGTGAAAACTAAATAAAATGGAGCAAACAATCAGTAAAACTACAAAATCTCTATTGCACTGAAGTAGGAACACATAATTACTTATATTGGTTATCCTACATGTCAAAACTATTTTTGGCATCAATCAGTGCTCAAATGTTTACACAAGGAACACAACAACACAGGTTAAGGCAAATAATTGTACATGCGATTACATGTATTTCAATAAATATGCACACATTAACAGTCTGTCATCACATCTAATGAGGTGAACACATAAGGAGCGGGAGAATGCATTTGCTTACTTGATAAAAGGTGGGCACATGCTTGGACATTTGAGATGTTTGAACTCATATGTTTCCACCGTCTTGACAGTAACGGAGACGAAAAGATTTTCAGAGATGGACAGTCAAAATAACACTACACATACAGACAATACAAGGCCAACAGACTTTTGGCGACCTAAAGCATCATCCTCGCCAATAATGTCCAAAACATCATCCTCTCCATAAGTGTCCAAAGCACCATCTTTGCCATCAATGTCGTCGTCTTGTGATACATACTTGGGACCCAATCCATGGTATACCAGGCACATAAGCCCATCGCCCAAATGAGTGACGAGGAAGTGTCATACAACCTCGAAACAAGGATAGAATATGCCTTGGAGCTCGTCTACCACTCGAACTTCAATCGGGATACCATTGGAGTTCAATTCATATGCAACAACCTCTTACTTCAATGAACGCTTGCCCCTTTGGGCATTGGTCTTTTCTTCTTTTTTTGGGTCTTAGTCGGGCCTTCTCTTAGGCCTACATTGTTCTAGGGATCGGAAAAATACCTTGAGTTAACACTTGTAAGTCATATTTGCGATAGATTGACGAAGGAACTCTTCAATTTAATGGATGGGTAAACATTCAAAGAGACAAAATATGTAGATTGAAGTCAAAGGTTGTTATATATGAGTTGAACTCCAATGGTATCCCGATGGAAATTCGGGTGTTAGACGAGCTCCAAGGCATATTTTATCCTCGTTTCGAGGTTGTATGACACTCCCTCGTCACTCATTTGAGCGATGGGCTTATGTGCCTGGTATACCATGGATTGGGTCCCAAATATTATCACAAGATGAAGACATTGATGGCAAGGATGGTGCTTTGGACACTTATGGAGAGGATGATGTTTTTGGACACTGTTGGCGAGGATGGTGCTTTGGGCCTCCAAAAGTCTGTTGGCCCTGTATTGTCTGCACGTGTAGTGTTATTTTGACTGTCCATCTCAGAGAATCTTGTCTTCTCCGTTACTGTCGAGACAGTGGAAACATATGAGTTCAAACATCTCAAATGTCCAAGAATGTGCCCACCTTTTATCAAGTAAGCAAACACGTTCTCCCTCTCCCTATGTGTTCACCTCATTAGTTGTGATGACAGATTGTTAATATGTGTATGTTTATTGAAAGACGTGTAATCGCATGTACAATTATTTACCTTAACCTGTGCTGTTGTGTTCCTCGTGTAAACATTTGAGCACTGATTGATGCCAAAAATAGTTTGGACTAGAAATTGTGCCCGCGCGTTGCTGCGGAATTGAAAATTGTATGAAAAATTACGCAACTGTATTCTCTTCATAAAACAAATATAACAGAGTTTTAAATAATTAGATAATGGAAATTGGATACAAAAATATTAAAGTGGCAAAGTAAATGTAAGTGGTGAGACAAGCTATAATAATTCTGCCCCCGATCTTTATCGAACATAGGCTTGAAGAAGCAATCATTTCTACTTTTGGTGATTGAATACAAACTCCAACATAAAATACATGACATGATAAAGCAACAAACTTTATAGGTGACATCGTATGAAAATTGCTAGTCCAGACGCAATAGTGTAATATAACAGAATATAATAGGATTTAAAAAAGTTCAATTTCCATATCAACTAAGTTGCTGAAACAAAATTTAAAATCAATTCAGTTATAATTCATCTAGTAGGATAATCATCAATTAAGTTGCATTTCAACAAAAATTAGACTGCAACCTGTAAGTGAAGAAAAAGAAGAATCTTACTACTATAAGGCCAGTTTTCTTGTCGAGCTCATACTTAACCTTGCCACGTTTGCCAATTTCAACAAACTGATATAGAAATAACCATACTCACAAACCGGTCAACAATCAAGAAAATGGGAGTGTGTGTGAGAAAGAATCCAACCTTAATTGTGCGCATGAAATTCAGCAACTTCCTATAATAACTCTGTAATCGTATCACCCATGAAACTACATAAACAAAACCAACAAATGTGGAAATCTAAAGGCATCATAAACATCACAGATTAAACACAACTTATGATTAATCTTCAAGATGTAAAATTTAAAATTATTACTCACATCAGCATTCGACCAACAAATAGGTACAATTATCTAGATACTGATGAATTAAAGCTTGCAGCAACAATTTCAAGACCCATTGACATCACGCAAGCGAATAAAATGTATTAGTTAATTCCCAAGCTAGTAAGATAATGAATTTCATGAACAAAAAAAGAGAGATGCAACTCCAATTTAACATGTCAAAAGCATTGCAACTGTAGGTTTGGAAATTATAAAAGTCCATCCAATCAATAGACAGAAAACAATAGTGGTGAGTAGGTGAATATGCAACCAAGAATCTAAAATATACTTGACAAATTTGCGATTCCATTGTAGCCTAAATGATAACAAATAATTTGCCCATTATAGACACAGTATAATTTATATACAAACTCATCATGAATGAAACAAATTTAAACACCAAAACAGAAATTTATTCCTCCAGAGTAGAGGGGGAAATAATTTTTGACTTGAAAAGTTGGAAGTAGCACTACTGCATAAATTACAAATGCAAATTGAGGGAATACCTATCAAATAAAGTTGACTACATTCTGAGCAATGCTAGAGAATATTCTTAATCTTTTCAAGTGCTACATGCAGCAAACATAAAGTTTGGATACCAGATTGGCTCCTAGTTGTTTCCAAAGAAGCAAAAATTGACATTATTTTGCAATAAATTGCAGAGAGTACCTTACACAGAAAACAAAAACAATCAACCAACGATGTACGATGATAAAACTATAAGACAAAATAAAAGGCTGATATTCAGATGACCCATGGTGATGGTGATCCAAAAAAAAATATATATATATGGACAACTACTTCAAAATTGAGTTTTAGAGAGAGTGAGAGGTGAAGTCACCTTGTAACCAGAGACCAAATCCATTTTTTTTCTCATTACCCACGTTGCAATTCAACTTGAGAAATCCCGAAACCAAACACCCAAACACAATGCAATCAAATATCAGCACGAAATATTAATTGGAAGCTAAAAAGATTGAAACTTGCCTACTGTGATGTATACAGTTTGGGCATTTGCTTGTGAGACTGTTGTGACATGCTGATCTCAGCTCCTTTAAAGTAAAATCAGGCGTTGTCTGCCAAGTAGGTAAAATCCATAAGATATCTTATAATCCATGAGATAAATTATTGCGTCAAAGTTATACGCTAAAAGAAAATTCATACTTCCATATGAACCCAAAGGACAATTTTTGCATATACCTTGGTAGGTTCATTCTCTAGATGAGTTTCTCTACTCATCATCCATGTCATGTGAAAACCTCATGCTAACTTCTGCAGAAAGCCACCAAAAAAATGAAAAATAAAATTAGACAAAAAGGTTGGAGAGAATACGAAATAACTAATTAGAGAGAGCAGAACCATAGTAACCAATCGGAAAGATGCTTTTAAATTCAAGAAAAAACATTTAAGAGAAAGTGAAAATAAAAACCATCAATTTTCAATTATTTTTCAGTCTTACAGTTAGGATTACACAGAAAATATAACTAAAATCCACAACTTTCTCAGAAAACTACAACTATTTTTTACAAATTTCCATCACCCAACATTGAAAAATGAAAATTAAGAAGCAACACAAAAGTAGGCAAACAACAGATAAAAGAACAAAACACGTGAGAACCGAAACGTTAAAAACACAACACATACCCATTCAAAAACAAAAAATCCCAGAAAATCTGTATATTAGCACTCCCTGCAATACCCCAAAATCAGAAAATTAGAAAAATTTAGTTTGATAACATTGTACCTTAAGAAACCTCTAAATTTCTAGTCAAAGGAAAATTAATACCACATTTGCATAAAAAATAATCAGAAGATAAAAACTCAAATTCATAAAGCATTTGTTCAAAGTATTTATTAGAGAAACTTACATATGGATGAAGGTGTCGATCTCTTGTATCATGTAAAGCAGCATCGCCTGGACTTCGCGAATATAATAGGTTCTCAGCATTCAAATGATTTTCATACACTTTGAAAAAAACCGGACCATATAACTGCACAAAAAAATTAAAAAAAAAATTATAATGATAAATTCGAATCTATAGTACAATAAAGAACAAAAAAAAAGTCACTTATTATAAATCAGCTACTTTGCTTCATCATCGTCTGCACAATCTTCTGCCAATTCATACCTAAATATCCATAAAATCTAACAAATAAATCGCCTGAAAAAACATATGAAATCCAAACTCCAGCAGTTTTGAAGTAACCTAAAATAAAAATTATTCTTATAGATACAAAGAAACTAAACAAAATTTATACCTTTCTCTTTTTTGGGATTTGAAATTCTCGAGAGCCCCATCCTCATTTTCTTTAGTCCAGACAACAGATTGAGAAGCATCTTTACAAAATACACACATGCATGAGTCAAAGTCGCTTGATTTGACATTCGGCCATGAAAACAAAGAAAGGGAGAGGTGGCCGTGCTTTAACTTTATCGGCGATGGGATTTGCGGAGTCCTCCGTGAAGGCAGAGTCATCGATGATGAGTGCAGAGCCGATCTGAGCAAGGCACCGCGAGATGGTGATGGATCTGGATCCAGTTTGGGGGTTGAACTTTTGGAGATCGATTTAATTTCTTGTTTCAAAAGTGTTAATCGCAGAAGACACAATAGAGACGTTTGCGGGAGGTGTGTTAGGGAAGCAGAGGGCTAGAGTTTTTTTAGAAAGAAGCAGACGTCTGAGAGCTTGGCTTCGAAATGGAACGAAGAGTCCAGAAGCACCAGAATTTCTAGAACCACATCAACGCGTCGAGATCCCATAGAAGCAGGTTTCTTTTCCACGATGACCGACACGTGTATACAAAGGGTACAATTGTAACTTCACTGTACAAAAACGGAAAAAATAGCTGTGAATGGGCAGCAGCTCAAGGACAGTTCCGCCAAAACACTGCTCGTGAACAGTGCTTTTCCCCCGGGTTTTAGTATATAGATAATACTAGATATTTGTGCCCGCGCATTGCTGCGGGATTGAAAATTTCATGAAAGATTATGCAACTTCATTCTCTTCGTAAGCAATGTTTGAGTTAATTTTGTTCCACTTAAGCAGCAATGAGAAATTATAGAAATTGTAGAAAGGCAGAATTAACGTATGCCAAATGTATTTCAATGGTACTAATTATATAGAATTGGGAAGTCAAATAAATCATATATAGCCACAAAATAGTAACAGGTACAGATGAGATTATATTAGTGTATAAGCTGTGAGCTAAGTAGAGTTAAAGTAAATAAGCCTTGTTTTAATTGTGTATTCACTTAGTCTTAGATTATGACAAGTGTAAGGCTGAGATTGTATTGTTGGTTGTGGATATCCAACTAAGGCTAGTTGTTATGTACACATGCTTTTGTGCGTGTATTGAGTGTGAGATATATAAAACATCACTCTCAGACTTAGAGAGGAAGAACAGAGCATTCCTTCACATTGCATTTCTCTCTAACCTTTCAAATTCCTTACTTCCTTAGAAACATAGCTAGTTCAAAGCACTCTAACATGGCCTCAGAGCCTTGTTCGATCATTTGAGATCTGGGAGTAAACTGTGAAGCAATCGAGCTACACTCGAGCTCGTTCCGGTTCAGGCGAAGTCGCCGAAATTCCATAGAATCCGATTTCGATTTGTGTTCGTCTCGTCTAAGCTAAGAGATGGCTGGATCTGGAAGTTCTGAGGTGAGAACTCCGATCTTCTCCGGTGAGAACTACGAGTTCTGGAGAATCAAGATGGTGACGATCTTCAAATCTCACGGGCTATGGAAATTAGTTGAAAAGGGGATTACGATCTCAGAAACAAAGAAGAAGAAGGTTGAAGGAAGCTCAGAGGAAGAAGAAGACGATGAGAAAATGGTCGCAGCATATATGCAAGATGCAAAAGCTCTGGTTATTATCCAGAATGCGGTCTCGGATCAAATATTTCCTCGGATTGCCAATGCTGAATCAGCCAAGATGGCATGGGATCTACTGTATGGAGAATACCATGGTGGTGATCAGGTTAGATCCGTAAAACTTCAGAATCTTAGAAGAGAATTTGAGTATGCTAGAATGCGGGATGATGAATCTTTGTCTAGTTATCTTACAAGATTGAATGAGTTAATTAATTAGATGAGAACATTTGGTGAATCCCTTTCTAATGAGAGACTTGTGCAGAAGGTTCTGATTAGTCTAAGTAAGCCTTATGATTCCATCTGTTTAATTATAGAAAACACAAAGTGTCTAGAGTCTGTTGAGCTGCAAGAAGTTGTTGCGATTTTGAAGAGTCAGGAACAACGATTTGACTTGCATAATGTTGATACCATTGAGAAGGCTTTTGCATCATTCTCAGTAAGTCCAAATGGGCAAAATAGAAGTGGAGTTCAATCTGGCTCATCAAAATTCCAGAAGAATTGGAATGCTAAGGGAAAGAAATGGGATTCGAAACCTCGATTCCAACAGAAACCTTTCACTTGTCCTGCACCAAATCCATATCAGTCACAGTCAATGAGTCAAGAGACTGTCAAACCACAGTGTAGAGTGTGTTCTAAGTATCATTTTGGTGAATGTCGATATAAGGGGAAGCCTAAGTGTTATAATTGTGATAAGTTTGGTCATTGGGTTAGAGAATGCACTGTAGGGAAGATTGTGCAAAAGGCAAACTCTGTAAATCAGGTGGAAGTGTCAGGAAATCTGTTCTATGCTAATAGTGCAATCTCAGAAACAAATATCAATGGAAATTGGTATGTTGACAGTGGTTGTAGTAATCACATGACAGGGAATGCTGATCTCCTTGTTGACATAAATACAAATGTTGCTGGAAAGGTGCAAATGCCTACTGGTGTGTTAGTAAATGTGGCTGGATGGAATGGGTTCATTGCAGATTGACACTAACAGAGGTAAAATGTATATCAGGGAAGTCATGCATCTGCCAGGTTTAAAAGAAAACTTATTGAGTGTTGGACAAATGGATGAGCATGGATATTATCTAGTGTTTGGAGGAGGTTTGTGCAGCATATATGATGGACCTTCACTTGAAAACCTTATCATCAAGGTTAAGAAGAAGGAAAATCGATGCTATCCTCTTTCTCTGGTAAAAAATAATCAGTTAGTTTTGAAGGCTAGTTTGGAGCATTCTACTCAGTTTTGGCACAGAAGACTAGGCCACTTGAATCTCAGAGGGCTTCAGCAACTCAGTGAGAAGAATATGGTGCATGGTCTTCCATACCTAGAAGCAACCAAGGATGTATGTCAAGGATGTCAATTTGGAAAACAGCACAGAGAATGGTTTCCAAAAGATCAAGCCTGGAGAACAAGCTGTCCTCTGGAACTTATACATGTTGATATCTGTGGTCCTATGCAGAATGCATCATTGGCTGGAAACAAATTTTTCATGCTATTCATTGATGACTGTACAAGGATGATCTGGGTGTATTTTCTCAGATACAAATCTGATGCATTCAATTACTTCAAAAAATTCAAGTCAATGGTGGAGCTGCAGAGTGGTTTCAAAATTAAAAATCTAAGGAGTGACAGGGGTGGAAAATTTTTATCTTCTGAGTTCACTAAATTCTGTGAAACTGAGGGCATTCAAAGGCAACTCACCATGGCTTATACTCCTCAACAGAATGGAGTAGTGGAGAGAAAAAATTGAACTGTGGTTGAAATGGCAAAGACTATGCTTCATGATAGAGGTATGCCATATGTTCTTTGGGCTGAAGCTATACACACAGCTGTATATATTCTAAATAGGTGTCCTACAAAGGCACTAGGAAATACAACCCATTTTGAAGCCTATAGTGGCAGAAAACCAGGTCTTGCACATCTCAAGATTTTTGGTTCCCTGTGCTATGTTCATATATACCTACTGAGACAAGACAGAAGCTAGATGCTAAGAGTGTTAAAGGTGTATTTGTGGGTTATGCTACATGTGAGAAGGGATACAGAATATTTGATCCATGTACCAACAAGTTAATCTTGTCAAGAGATGTGGTTTTTGATGAATCTATGACCTGGAATTGGAAAGAAAGTTCACAAAGTTCAGCTACTGCAACTTACATTCAGGATCAACCTGAGAATGTAGTTTGTGAGAATCCATATGAGATGAGTGTGATTGAAGGAAGTTCTCTCAGTCCTAGTTCTTCTTTTCATACTGAAGAACAAGAAAGCAGCATTCAAGAATCTGATGAGATCCCTCAGTCTTATGATCATACTCCAGTGAAATGGAGAAGCATAAATGACATTATGACACAGTGCAACATTTGCATTGTGGAACCTGAGAAATATGAAGAAGCTGCACAAGATCAGGCTTGGATAAAGGCAATGGAAGAAGAACTGCAAATGATTGAGAAGAATGGAACTTGGGAGATTGTTGACAGACCAAGTGATAAGCAGGTGATTGGAGTTAAATGGGTGTTCAAAACCAAACTGAATCTAGATGGTTCAGTACAAAAGAACAAGGCCAGATTGGTTGCCAAGGGGTATGTGCAGAAACCAGGACTCGATTACAATAAGACTTTTGCTCCAGTTGCCAGATTGGACACCATCAGAACACTGATTGCACTTGCTGCACACAGAAACTGGAAGATATTTCAATTAGATGTTAAGTCTGCTTTCTTAAATGGAATATTGCAGGAAGAAGTATATGTTGATCAACCTGAAGGGTTTGTGATTAATGGCAAGGAAGACAAAGTTTACAAACTGCACAAGGCTCTTTATGGCTTGAAACAGGCACCTAGGGCCTGGTATGGAGAGATTGACAGTTATTTTGCTAAGTGTGGGTTTGAGAAAAGCTTAAGTGAAGCAACTCTCTACACTAAGACAAGGGGAGAAAAGGATATACTAATAGTCTCCATATATGTGGATAATATTGTGTATACTGGAAACAATCAAGACATGTTGGATGAGTTCAAAGAAGATATGAAGGAGAAGTATGAGATGTCAGACTTGGGCCTTCTTCACCATTTTTCTGGGGATGGGAGTAATTCAAACAGAATCTAGCATCTTCATTCATCAAAAGAAGTATGCCTCTTCCCTGTTGGATAAGTTTGGACTGAAAGAATGTAAATCTGTCTCTATACCTCTTGTGGCTACTGAAAAGTTGAGTAAAGAAGATGGCAGTGGTGCAGCAGATGAAGAGAAATATAGAAAGCTTGTAGGCAGTTTATTGTATCTTACTGCTACAAGACCAGATGTGATGTATGCAGCTAGTTTGTTAGCTAGATATATGCATGGTCCTTCTAACAAGCACTATGGGATAGCTAAGAGAGTGCTCAGATATATCAAAGGAACACTAGATTATGGTTTGCATTATGTGAAAGGCAAGAAGGCAGTTTTAGTTGGTTTCTGTGATAGTGATTGGGGAGGATCAATAGATGACAGCAAGAGTACCTCAGGCTATGCTTTTTCATTTGGCAGTGGAGTGTTTTCATGGGCTTCTGTGAAACAAAATTGTGTTGCACTATCCATAGCAGAGGCTGAATATATTAGTGCTGCCGAAGCAACATCTCAAGCTATATGGATCAGGTTTGTTCTTGAAGATTTTGGAGAGTTACAAGCTGAAGCAACTCCTTTGCAGTGTGACAATACCTCTGCAATTTCAATAACTAAAAATCCAGTGTTTCACCAAAGGACTAAGCACATTGACAGAAGATATCACTTCATAAAGGATGCTTTGCAGCAGGGAATTTTTGACTTGGTATACTGTCCAACCAAAGAACAAGTGGCAGACATTTTTACCAAGGCCTTACCAAAAGAGAGATTCAACTATCTCAGAGATAAGCTTGGAGTTGTATCAGCTCAAAGCTTAAAGGGGAGTATTAGTGTATAAGCTGTGAGTTAAGTAGAGTTAAAGTAAATAAGCCTTGTTTTAATTGTGTATTCACTTAGTCTTAGATTATGACAAGTGTAAGGCTGAGATTGTATTGTTGGTTGTGGATATCCAACTAAAGCTAGTTGTTATGTACACATGCTTTTGTGCGTGTATTGAGTGTGAAATATATAAAACATCACTCTCAGACTTAGAGAGGAAGAACAGAGCATTCCTTCACATTGCATTTCTCTCTAACCTTTCAGATTCCTTACTTCCTTAGAAACATAGCTAGTTCAAAGCACTCTAACAGATTAATCAACATCTACCAAATCAAAAGTAGATGTGGAAATTGAAATAATAAACCTTGTTTTCTGTTCAAAAAGTCATGCAACAATGGGAACATGACTAACCGGATAGAACTGTGATTAACTCACTCCATCCGTAAACAAAAGAAACCCAAACCAAGTTCAGCAAGAATTATGCACGACCTTTTTGAAAACTATATAATGAATTATAACAAATTGTTAAACAAACATGGACCGGAGGTTATCTTAAAATTCATTTAAATGGAAAATGGTAAATTTGGTTCACTTGAGATGCTCACCTTTCAAAATGCGATACTAATATAAGTTGCATATTAGGATGAAATGCATTAACGCTTACACTTCATAAAAGAAAAAACCAACAAAATTCTAATTTGTTTTTCTACTCAATGTTCCAGGAAATTGCCTAAATAGCAAGAACAATTGCACATGGAGCCTACCTTCTGAGTAGCACTTAAAAGCTCTCTTTGAACTCTCCTGTGCTCATATGAGAGGGAATTTTGTCGTCGCTCAATTTCAAGTCTAGCCTCTCTTTCCATAATGAGAGATTCCATTGCAGCCTGATAGACATATTCAAACATTTAATAATGTACAGAAGTTACCTAAATTCAGCCACAATGAATATCAAACCCATCTACTTACCATCTTATCCAACTCTTATTTCGTAAATTTCTCTTGTAAAGAAGCATAGTTTTTCCTGAGCCCCGCAATAATCTAATTCAATTCTTCTTGCTTTTCAATAAGATCCCTATTATCAAACAAACACAATTACTGTAGTAAACAACTTCATTGAGGATTCAAACGCACAAAATATGTTAATTCAAACCCATTTCATCGCGATGCCGCTCTAACCATGAAAAATTAAAATTATAATCACTCAAATCAATTACAGTATATCACAAACTATGTCATCTAATAATCAATAAATTTAAGAAAATTTAAAATAAAATCAAAATCTTTAAATGTCCTAATTTTCTCAAATCTCAGAAGCCAAACAATATAAAAAAACAGAAAAAAAAAGGAGACGGATGAGAAGTGAAGGTTGAGTTGAGTAACTAACTTGTCAGGATTTGGATAAGAGGCAGGAAGAGAAGGCCATGATCGGAACGCAATCTTCCTCTTCTTCTTGTAATTTCTGTTTCTCCTTTCAGATTTCAAATACAAAACGACCCATACTTAAATGAACTTAATCCCTGTAAAAAGTTTGGTATAAAACTTTCATGACACTTCTATAAAAATCCAGAATGCATGGTTCTTTTAAAATCAACACATAACTTCATTTTAAACTTGTATAGACACAAACTTAATCAATTGATTTATATTTAAATAGAAAGAATGTAGTGGTCAGTTTTACCTATATTTTGTTTGTTGTCACTCCATTTCTATTTTTAATTAAAAGCTTGTAACTTATACGCATTTGCTTATAATTTTTACTTCCCTTCCCTTCCCCTGCTGCATAAACAGTAGAGTAGCCCTCGTTTACCTACAACAAATCGAAAACCATTTGGAGAAAATAACTAAGCATTTGGTTATTAGATTCTTAGTAGGCAAAGCAAGAAAATTACACATAACGAAACTATTGAAACTTTAAAACCCACTTCCCAAATTAGGTTCTCAGACTGGCTAATGAGCATATTGATTTTAAACTATCATCCCAAACCTGCAATGCATGAGGTTTTTTATTTTTTATTTTTTTGGACAGTGTAATTAATCATTTTTAATAGAAGAATACAATTCATATAACAATAATTAGTAGAGAAAACGAACGCAGTAATGTAAAAATCATGGGGTTACTTAAATTTTGAGGGCTGAGGAGGCACCAAGTTCCATTTTTAGTCAGAGTTCGAAACTGAATTTGAGACTCTTATAGGTTCTTGTTAACAAACATAACATGGTGGACCAAATTAAAAACATATTTAAACCAAAAACTATAATATGAGTTTTTCTAATTTTTCTATAAGAATTCTCAAAACTCTAAACAAAAAGAAAAGTTTACCGCAAGGTTGGAGCTAACTGGGGTCAATTCTCCTTGCTCTGCAATCACACAAAACAAAAATCAAAGTTCAAAACTTAATATAACCTCATCAGCCAATTCAAAGTCCAAACAATTAACTAAAAAAATCCAGAATTTATAAAGTGAAAACCATAATTATTGAGGTTAGATTGCAGGACAACCAACCTCTACTCGTTTTCTGGCAAATTTGGGGTCCTTTGATTTCTAGACTTTGAGTAGAAACTAATTATACCATGGGCTAATATTCAAGTACCACAAAATATAATTTTATCGTAGTAAGCTTTTCGATTCACTCCAAACGAAGGTTTTATATGTTCACATACATACATTCACAACCATAAGAAAGAAGAAAACAACTTTTGGTACAGAGCAAAAATGAAGCACTAACGGATTCCCACACACCAAACTTTGAGAACAAACAAAAACAGAACCAAATTATATAGCAGCATGCAAGTCACGAAGGAACAAAGAAAAAAGAATACTCATTTGCAAATCCAAAATTAGAAAAAAAGAGCATAGACAAAACTGGAAAACTCACCACAAAAACGCTGGTCGTCGGAGTTTTTTTTTTTTTTTTTTTGGCAACGAAATTGGAAAATCTGAAAAAACTTGTAGCCGCAATTTTTCAGCAACAAACCTTCGGTGTCAACATTTTATAACAGAGACACACAAAAGTTAGACACGAAGAGAAAACGATGCATTGAAAATTCTGGAAAAAAAAAGGACTTACAGTGACGGACGGCGGAGGACAGAGCAACAATCGCGGCTCAGAGAAAACCCTAGCTTGATCCACGCCGCTAGTTTTGGACAGTGTAGAAATCGAAGGAAAACCCAAATCCAAGGAAAAGCAAATGGCTTTTCGAATTCCATTTATTTATTTATTTTTATTTTTCTGGAGTTTGGCCACTGTGATTTATAGTTTTTGAGAGAGAGAACTGGAGAAATTTCTACTGGGTTGGTCTTTTTCAGCAGGAAAGTGAGAGAAATCGAGATCGGAGAGCGAGGGAAGGCAAACTTTAGCAACATAAGGGTTTGTGGGAGAGATCGAAATGGATGGAAGGCTTCTTGGGTAGAGAAAGAAAGCATGAGAAAGAGTGAGAGATGAGAGAAGACCGCAAAGTGAAGGAGAGTTAGAGGAAAAGTCGAGAAGGAGTCGAAGCAGAGCCCTTCGACGATGATCGACGCGTGGAGAGGATGATTGAAGAGGAGGTGTGCAGAGCGATGAACGCGTGGGCAAAAATTAGAGGAATTGCGAGGAACGATGTGCGGAAGAAAGGAAAGACGTGATGAACAGTGGTGGGGAACTGTTCCAGATGCCATGATGTTGTGTTTTTTAATTATTTGTTTTCTGGTGATAGATACCCTCTCTCACAATCCATGCTCAGCTTTTGTTTCTCTCTCTCTTTCTTTTTCCCCTTTTCTATCCATTTTATTCTGCATGTTCCAGATTTTTGGTTTTTTAATTATTTTTTGGTGGAAAGGCATGCATCATTGCTGCCAGATGTGGATCAGGTATGGTTTTTTAATTATTTTTTTTATGGAAAGGCAGGTACCATTTGCTGCCAGGTGTGGATTAGGTAAGGGAAAAACGCTGGAATCGAAGAGGGAGTCAGAATTTAAAAGAAGATACACATGATGAACAGTAGCCCTCTCACATGATGAACAGTGGACGGGAACTGCTTTAGTAGATAGCTACAACAATATGGAAAAAAAAAAGGAAACAGGAAAGTATTAACCCGTGGCCTCTGAGGGCAAGGCAGTCTTTTCACTGTGGAAAAGATGGCAAAAATTTGGCTTAACAAACAAATCGAGGGGCATTTTAGTCCGTGCACTGTCCATGAACAGTACCACGTCGTTGGGGTTTTAGTATGGGGGCGTTTGTTTGCCCTCATTAAATGGGACTGGACTAGACTGGACTAGCCGTTAGTCTAACACTGTGTTTGTTTCATGCTGGGACTAACATTAATGAGACTAAAAGGGACTAGCATGGACAAAACCCTTCACTAAGAGGTCTTAGCGAGACCCCCCAATAACCATGGGACTAGCTAAGACTATCTTCTCTCGTCCTTGTCATGCTCAACAACCACTCCCGATAGACTCCCCGTCATCTCCGGTCACCTAAATCATAATAAAATATTAATAATTTATATATTAAATAATATAATATTAGAATTTGTTATTATCCAGCTTCTTAGTCCAACACTGCACCAAACGCTTCACTAAGTTAGTCCAGCTTAGTCTAGTTTAAACCAGTCCAGCTTAGTCCTTGAAGCTAGTCCAGTCCGAGATAGTCCGGCGCAACAAACGCCCCCTATAGGTATAATGTAGGACAACCAATAGAAGTAATTATGTATTCCTACTGTAGTGTAGTAGAGACTTTGTAGTTCTACTGATTGTTTGCTCTATTTTATTTAGTTTTCACTTAAAGCACTATTGTTTCTAATAGAAAAAACTTCCACTACTAATTTGTATACACTTGGGACCTTCATTACTGCTAATGCCACAGTAGAGACTTTGTAGTTCTACTGATTGTTTGCTTTATTCATTACTGCTAATGTCAATCATGATCATATGATTATATAACTGGGACACATCTGTTACATACTGTTTAAAATTTTAGTTAAAATAAGGATGCCTCATGTCCTGCACCAATCTGCTCAACCAGCCAAGGCAAACCCAAAAACCTCTACATTGAAATGGTAGCTTTGCACAATTTATATACAGAACATAAACACCTATGTAATATATCCATACGAAATCAATAAATTTGTTCACAATTATTTTATTCTTTACATGGTACTAGAGCAACTGTGCCTCTGATAAAGCTAATTAACAATTGAAAATACAACTGGAAAAAAGAAAATAACACAAAAGGGGGCAGATTATGAATAGATTCATGTGAACTTTGCGTTTAGAATTAAATAATTGTCCAAGAGATTCTTACCTCGTTGTTCCCTCCAATTGAGGTTTGCGGAACACCTGGGTTTGGAGATTACCTCTACAACTGGCATGACAGGACGACTTTGTGAGGCTATCTCGCTTCTTGTTTCATCATCTCTCCTTCTACATTCTTTATGCTCTTACTCTCCCATTAAGAACTCAAGATTTATAAACTATGAAGAAGGATTCTAAAAGATTTTGATTTTGGTGTGTGACTTTTAGGATAGATGTAGAGTTTATATAGAGAAAAAAAAAGGGATGAGGTTGTAGATATTGACACGTGGCACCCTGTGATTGGTTAAAAATCTTATCGAAATCTATCCACAATGATTCTAAACAGATAGTGACACGTGGTACGATGAAAATGGTTAAAAATCTTATTGGAAATTTATCCACAAAATTCTTACAGAATCATGACATGTGGCGTTATGAAATTGGTTAAAAATCTATCCACAAAATTTGTACTTTGGGATGTTGACATGTTGACACACCCCGTCCCGAAGGAGGGCATGCTGGCCGTCACATGAGAGTGACGTAACCATTTACACAGTTCGGAAGCTTTTAAAATACAATTATTAAAATGGAAACCCTCGAGGGTGAGTCTTACTTTTGTGAATTCTGTCAGAATACCGTTGGATTCCTCGTGGCCACCAAAACTCTGCTATCAAGAACCTGGAGGGGCGAAAAACAAAATTGAGTGGGTCAGTAAAACCAAGCTTTTCAAAAACATTTCGCCAAAAATAATTCTAACCCCTCACTGTAAAACCTGTATACTTTTCTCAGAAAATAGTATAATAACATAATACTTTTCATAAATCTCGAATCATCAATTTTTCGTTAAAACCCGAAAGTATGCCATGTTTTAATTTCGAAAACAAAATAAATGATGCATCAATGTAACAGGTGAAAAGTTGAATTAACCGGAGACCCTGCAGTTGGTCCTGTACGGTTAATTTCATAGCTCAACATCCAATCCAACCGGAGTCACCTCGATGACCTGCACGGCACTACACTGCAGATAAGTCGAAACTACCTGAAGTAGTCTGTACGACATGGATGGTGTAATAATAGGCTCTAGTGCTTCTCTCATCAATCATCTGTGCACATAATCTAAGGTCACCCACTAGTCGGAATCACATCTAGTAATCTATACGACTAGCATGTCGGAACCCTCACTTGGTCTGTACGACATCCACCTACTTGGATCTAAGACGAGCGTGCGGTGTGGTGAATAATATAAGCACTAACACCATGATTGCAGGTTATGAGCTATCCACAATATACACATCAACAATGCACATGATAATATAAAACTCACCTGATACTTACCTGTGCGTCCACAGCACCAATTCACATATATATATGCATCATACATCAATTCATGCTTTTCATATACTTCTATGCATGGCATTTCAAATCATACTTTTCATATAAATCTATCCATGGCATTTTAAATCATACTTTCATTTAAATTCAATTTCTGGGAAAACTCAATAGTATATAGGTAATACGAAAACAAAACTACCCACTCACCTGGAGTTCGCCCTACAACTCCCTAGCACAACACATCAAGGCGTCATGATGATCGCCGCCTAGAACAATAATCAAATCCAACCTCAGAAATCATATCGATAGAATATAACTTATAAAACACATCACTACGCAGTTCGATCTGAAAGATCTGCAACTCATATTTTAAATCCATAACTTCCAGAGGTTCACAATATATCTCTAGGACAACATCCTGAAATTTCATTACCATCCAACGGTCGGATCTCCGTCAATTTCCAAAACTAAGTGACGGTTAACATTTTATTTTATGAACTTACAACTCCAATTCTGGAAGATCCGTAACTCGGATTCCCAATCCGTAAGTTCCAATAATCCTCAAATATTACGTATTACAACGTATCAAAGTTTGGTGACGATCCAACGGTCGGATCATCAATTCACATTTTCACCTAAATGCGAAAACTATAAAACGTTATTTAAAGCACCTAACCAATAATCGTAATAACTTTCTCATACGGTGCTCAATTTGGGTATATGAATATACCACAGTGATCTACTCGACGTCACGAACGTCGAAATATTTTTAGATTATTTTTTTTATGTGTCACGCGCCCCCACGCGCCGCACGTGGCACGGGCCTACGCGCCCTTCTTCTTCCTTGGGTCGCCGGACTGGTTTTTCCGGCGACCGTTTTCCGGCCAATTTTAAAACCTCTTGTTCTCCTTCGTTTTTCACCCATTTTCTTCGTATTTTATATCAAATTGAAGCCCCAAACATGTAGAATCACGATAAACTAGTTTAAGGCTATAAAATCAAGAAATCTCACCGGAAAATTCCCAAGAAATTCGGCCAAAATGGAACCACGTGATCCCGACGTCCAAATCCTTCAAACGAAGTACTCCGAGCCTCCTTAGGACTTCACTAAGCTCACTACAAGCTTAGAATTCCCTGAAACACGACATTTTACGTGTGCATGAACAGTAACTCAAAAATGGAGGTTCGGGTTTCCCGTGATTTCGAGGGTTTCACTTCCTAAAACTAGTACCAATGAACTCAGAACGTCGAAAGGATGAAGATGCATACCTTGGTTGCCTCGATCCGTCGAGTTTTTGGAGGGTTTGGGTGTGTGCCGTACACATTGGGTGTGTGTGAGGTCGAGGGAGAGAGACAGAGAGTGCTACGAGAGGGAGAGAAGACAGGGAGTGCGTGTGTGTGTGATTGTGTGGCCCAACACAATCCTCACCATCCATCCAAATCCCTAACCACAAAAATTCAAATTCCAAAAGTTTAATCCCAAAACTTACAAAATTAATTCAAATAATGTCACACACACACACGTACCTTAATGCCCACCAAGGGTAATTACGTCAATTCACGTCCCAGATATAAAAATCCCGGGACGGGCTGTGACACATGTGGCGTGATGAAATTTGTTAAAAATCCGATCCAAATTTAAATTTAAAATTATCTTTTATTATATTATAAAAAAATAATAACATTTTAATACCAATAGCCTAGCAGTTCAATTTCGGTGTGAAGATTCAGTTTGCTTGGGCAACTTGGTAGGGTGGAGTTGCTTTAAAGCTTAAGAAATTCTGTGATGATATTCCAATGCCTTTATTTATAGTGTTCTCCAAGTTTCATAGTGTCGGTTTAGTAATTTTTCCATATTTGATGAAATCTAAATATTTTTAGGTTAAAATGTTCATAAAATTAAATTAGAATAGTTTACATAATTTTTTATTTTTTAAAAAAAGTTACTTTAAGAAAAAAAAAATTATCCTAAATTCATTCTTTAGTAATCTCAAGCTAAAAATTTAACCCAAAAAGGTTGGAACAAAAAAAAAAACTATTTGCGGGTTAAAACTTAAATTTTCTTGGTAAAAAATTTTAGGTTTTAACTCAAATGTTGGAGATGGTCTAAGAGGGAGAAAATTTTGTGTTCTCCAAGTAATACAAAGTCAAATAAAAAAGATCTTCTAAATCCTGAAAGATTCCTAACTTATCTATACTTATGATTTACACAATAACATCGTGTGAAATATTAATTACAACACTTTCTTAAGTGTGTAAATACTGCAATAGATGCAATAGATCTTCAGGCAACTATGAAAGTAGTTGATGAAGTCGTCTCGTAGGCACAATGAATGAATGTGAGTCTCAATATTTTGTCCTTACACATACTAATAACAAAACGAACATTAGTAAACGAAGAACGTAACCAAAGCGAAATAAGCATATTTTTTTCCGGCAATGGCATAAGATCGATCAAGTTAATTGTTAATCATATACAAAGAGTAAAAATAGGGCGGTAAATTGCCAAATGGCGCTTCTGCATGTTCTCTGATGGCTTCCAATGGCGCTTCCTTTGATTTATAAACCAGTTATTTATTTGTTTCTATCCAGTCCAGTCACTTGGGCAAGACTAATTTTATCGGCTTCCTGCACCATCCCAGAAACAAGAAATTTGAAAGAAAAAAAAAATATCTAGAGTATAGCGTCAAAATTATATAATTAGAGTGATTAATTTCCACACTCCATTTTCTCCTTCTGCATACTTTGTTTATTTTTGCATTTTAGATTGAACACGCTCAAAGGGATCAATGGACAATGGTAAACAGAGTTGTGCACAAAGAAAAAACGGGTATGAGTGAAACCTATAGAATTAAGCTTTTATAATTTATAGTTACCGTTGGGTAAGGCCATTTATAATGAAGGTTCCACCAATCAAAGAGAATTTGCCTTGCTTCTTTTGGGAGGTTTCCTTTCTTCTTCGTCTTGGACTTTTGGAAAACTCATGTTTACGAGTGCTTATATAGCCACTGTATTTACGCAACAGTTTATCCTTGAGCTCTTGATCTTCCTTTGTCCGCGGAGAGTCTTGTCCCTCTATCTCTCCTCTCCTCCACTCTAGTCTTCTTCGTCCGATGAATTTTGATATAACGGCTACAAACAGAGAGTTTGTTTAAAAATTATAATAATTGTAGCCGTTGAATCAAAATTCAACGGTCCAGATCCTGAATTAAGTGGATTTGATGAAAGGAGGATCCCTTTCCGTAAGAAACACCACTGCTGTTATCAGCTATAAATGAACCGCAGGGCTCAATAGTCCAAATGTCAGCCATAAAGTCTTAAAGTGGGAGCTCCTAAACCAAGATTAGTAACATACTAGTGGTTAATATCTTTTTAATCTCCTTTAATATTACTCCTCAAGTCTTAAGCTAGATTGAACAAAGTTACAAACAGATGTGAAGTTAAACTATTGGAGTTTTTTTTTTTTCTTTCACAATTGATATTACTAATTTAAGCTGCACTAAAAAAATATGAAAGAGTTTGAACCTTAAAACAGTAAGTTGAAGAAGATCCTATCTTTCAAGGCAATTCACCACTTGCAGATTGTCGAAGCTTAAATTTTGATTAAATGATAAGCTGTGCATTAGGAGCCTAATCACTGCTTGACAAGTTTTAATTGTTTAAAATTTTGGGGAAGAAAAACATTTCCACGTGCATGGATAGCTTCCAGGGACAAAAGAGAGGCAGACCCATGTTTTCCTTCTCAGAACTTTATAATTTTAATGCTTCATATTTTATTTAATCTGCTACAAAAAATATAGATACATGGGAGAGCAGATTTGCTTCAATACTCCCACTCGAGAGCAACTAATAAATTAATCAAATTCTGCATTTTAATTCCGAATACAGGTTAGGAAAAGGGATGTGCTATCCACACCTCATTTTACTTTTCACATACCTCTTGATAATTTTTGTCCATTGATCTTCTTCAATTCATCTTATCCAACGGCCGAAAATTAAAAAAATGTGTGAGAAGTAAAATGAGATGTGTGGATATCACACCCCTAGAAAAAATGTCATTAGTCCAAATAACTTCATATAATTTGTAAGGGAGACGGAAAAATGTTTGGGCATGTTACTTCTGCAGTAAATAGCAACAGCAGAGTCAAATTTATGATGTTCTCCACAAAGACCAATCATTTGGTTGGTAAAAAAAGAAAAGTAACAAAAAAATGGTTACATCTAAATCATGATGTGATTCTCAAAGATGCAAACATTCATTTGAATAAAGCCAAATAGGTGGGAGCCGGATCCCTCCGGATCATTTGGATCTAGGTCATTGAAATTTAATTCAACAGTTACAATTACTATAACTTTTAGAATGATCTCCTATTTGTATCCGTTTGATCAAATTTCAATGGTCCGAATTATTTGATGAATAAGCTCAATTTCAAATGATCCGGAGGGGATCCGGTTCCAAATTGTTGTGCGTCTTTCGTTCTTTGTTCAATTGCAGCCAGTGAGAGATCCAAATTGTGATAATTTGTAGACCATCGTTGTTTGACGCCACCTTTTTCTAGCGGATGCGGGTTAGTTCAGTTGGTCAGAGTAGTGTGTATATCTTTTGCATGCGAAGTCAATCCTCCATTTGTAAATCAAGTAATTTAAGACTTGTTTGGAAGTACTTTTAAAATGAATAAAAGCGCTTTTGGAAGAAGAACCAGATATATGCTTTTTGCATGAAGCACTAAAGTGCTTTTCCAAAATACACTTGGAATTTTACTAAGGATTGGTTTAAAAAATATTTTCACTAAAATCGCTTTCAATCATTTTAAAAGTACTTCCAAATGAGTTTTTAGTACTTAAACTAGTTGGTCAAAGTAGTGTGTTTGTTTCTTGCGTCCGAATTCAATCCTCCACCCATAAATAAAAGTAATTTAATATTTACACCAGTTGATCAAAGTAATGTGTTTGTTGCTTGCATCCGAGTTCAATCTTTCACCCATAAATAAGAGTAATTTAATATATCGCATTGATAGGGGCCAATAGTTTGCGTGGGGACCGTAGGTATTTTCAAGAGTAAATGTAAACCACGAAGGAATTTAATGAACAAAGAGGGGGTGAAATTAAGTGACTTGCGTCTTGTTGGGGTCGTACTTTTTGGGCCATACATGCATTGAAACAATATAGCAAAGACAAAAATTGGGGAAGATTATTGTCAGATTGTGAACCCTGGTGTGACAATTACATTAATTCTTGCTATAGAAATATATATTTGAAAATTGTCATGGATGCTCCACCCCAAAAAGATTATCTCTCTCATGCAGTACAGTGCTAGGAGGAAAGGAAACTGATGAAAATACTGGGTTTTTTGTCGTTAGATACTTGGTTATTGAAAACTGGAGGTTTTCTATTACGCTATGTGAAATTCTATATCTCAAGATTTTTTGCCGTTAAATTTTTAATTATTGGAATGGGGGTCTATTATGCTTCGAAGTATCTTATACTCTAGGGTTTTTGATCGTTAGATGGGATAAGGATTTGGTGTATGGTATACCTCGGTCATTGCAGTGTAATAAACCAACGCGACAAACAATAAAAGGAGACAAAACAAAAGAATATTGTCTTTTTTTTTGTACACAAACATGACCTTCACATTTACCTAAAATCTTTCCTTCACTTGGCTTGTTGTAGCTGTAGAGTTCCCTGGAAAATGGCCCAAACGTTCAACAACATTTTTCAGCAGGCATAAATTCTGTACAATCACTGATCGTTAAGTATTGAATTGAGAAGTTTATTGTTCCTCATTTTGTTTGTTTTTCTCTCTATATTTGTTTAGTTCACAAGGCTCGCAGTTAAAGTGGCTTTTCACTGGAAATAATCCCAGTAAAGCAGGACCCCCTGTTTCAAGGTTGCTGTCCAATCTTAGCAAATAGTGAAGTGTTAATTGTTCAATCATAAGATAACTAGAACTTGAAGCAATTAATACAAAAATAAAAAGATTAATGCAAACTCCACCGAGAACAATCGTAGAAGCAAAAGCAGACCATGTTTCATGGGTTCCTGTCTTAGCTTTAGATCATAAAGCAGTAATCATGTTCGTTGTTTAATCTTAACATAGCCAGAATTTGGAAGTCTCGTATTAACTTAAACAAAAAAAGATAGGGTTCATGACTAATCCGTACCTAATAATGTGCGAATGCAGAATCTGTCAAATTGACGCCATTGGATCGTTCCCAGCTCAACTAAAATGATGTACTCAAAGCACAGAATCCTGCAAATCACTTTCCGGCATCCATAAACGAAGAAGACGGTCATAAAATGAGCAAGTAGCAACTAAAGTGCTATTCCTTTTGCCTTCATGGAACGATTTGTCTCTGTGCCAGTCAGCTCCATATGCAAGTGACTCGTGCTTGCTGTACGTTTCAATCACTTCAGTTTTATCCTCATTAATCTTGACTATCGAAAATCCGTTGTGCATACAAGCTGTCAAGACGAGACCGGCCACAAAAGGATGGAACTTGATTCTCCACACTCCTCCCCCTAAGCAAACAGAGGTTTCATTAACTGGTGTTGATATTGATCTTACATCCCAAAACCTCAGGTACTCATCATAGCTGCCAGTAACTACACAATTCGAATCGTAGGGATTTTTGGCTATGCAGCAAACTCCCATTGTATGGGCTTTGGTGTTCTGAAATGCCAACTTCGAAGGACCGTCTCGCAAATCCCAGCATTTGAATTTGCAGTCATCTGAACCACTATACACCAACTGGGGCTGGTGGATATCATACGAAGCTGTCCAAACCTCAAAATCATGCGCTTTCCATGTTTCTTGTGTCTCAAGTTGGGATTCCCCAATTGAAGCTATAGCGACAGAACCATTCGAAAGCCCCACGGTGATAGAAGTGGCTGAAGGGTTCCAATCCAGGAAAAGGCACATGGATGAACTGATATTTTCATCAGTTATCTCCCTCAAAGATAACCCTGCACCAAAATTTCATAACAGTGATCATATTGAAAAAGCTAAAATATTTTCATTGCTTACAACTCAAGGAACACATAAGCATTCCATACCTTGTGCTTCATCTGAGCAGGATTCAAGACCGTGAATTCTCAAGTAACCATCAGCGTCGGCTTGAGCAAGAAGAGGACTCACGCTGTCTCCAACTGGGTTCCACTTTATATCGAAAATCCCTGCCGTTTCAATCCGCTGAAACAAATCAAGCCGACCCAAGTCAGCACCAACGTTGAACAGCGATATACTTCCAGCTCGGATCGGTTGTTCACCCTCTTGCAGCGTGTACGTTGAAGCTGCCAGAACATGGCGGTATGAATCGTGCGGGCAAAACTCTACGGCATCGGCATTGCCCTCCAAATTACAATGTGCCACATCCATTCCTTGATCACTTTCAAACAAATTAGATACTCATTTGACGATTCAGCGTTGATTCAAAACTACTTAGGCATTTCGTCAAACACGTAACATGCATAAACTTGAAGTGATTACAGTTCGTGTAAAAGGTGTGGGCTTTGACAAAAATTAGATTCTTAATTTTGTGTTAGGAAGATAATATGGTAATACAATAATTGAAAAGAAAATCTATGAGCTTGATTATATTACGCATATAGGTATATGATCAAAGGAGAAGAAGATGTTACCGTTGTTCGTTGGCGGGTTTTTCTTAACTGCAAAACGGGTGCGAAGGACTTAAACGAGGTTTCGCAGGTGTGTTATTACGTAGAGAGTGCGGACACGACTAAAGAAAGAAAGGGAACTTTAACAAAAACTTTGGTACTGTTTATTTTAAAGAAAATTTATATTTTTACGTTAAAAAGTTAATTCTGATAGTATTTATTTTATCCTTTGTTTTGTCTTGATCGTTAAAATTCAAAGTTTTCAAGTCATTTTCATTAGTTTTCCTAAGAAAAGAAACCGTGAACCCCAAACACAAAATATAGCTCATTTTGTTCTTGTTTTTTAAAAGGGATTATTTTTTACTTCTCACACATCTCTCTTAATTTTTGGCCATCAGATAGAATGAATTGAAGACGATTAATGATAAAAAATTAATAAAAATATGCAAGGTAAGAATTGATGTTTGAATGACACTATCCTTTTAAAATAAGGAGTTTTAACGAAAACCTGCGGTACTGTTCACTTTAACGAAAAACTACATTTTTACACTAAAAAGTCAAACCTTGTACTATTCACTTTACCATTTATTTTGTCCTTATCGTTAAAACTCAACGTTTTCAAGCTCTTTTTATTAGTTTTCCTTTTTAAAATAAACCATTAACCCTGAACACAACTCAAAATCTTTTTGGGAACTTTAACGAAAAGCACTCGGTACTGTTCATTTTAACGAAAAACCACATTTTTACACTAAAAAATCAATCCTGATACTATTCACTTTACCCTATATTTTGTCCTTATCATTAAAACTCAAAGTTTTCAAGCCTTTTTCATTAGTTTTCCTAATCTTTTTTATTAGTCTTTTCACATTAGAATGTGTTTCGTCTCGTCTATTGATTAAGAATTCATGGTTATTTATTTATTTATTTGCCTTTAATATTTAAAGCTATATATTCATATTATATAAACGCATTCATCAAAATAATTGCTTGGCAAATATACAAATGAGAAATAAAGCATAATATAATGCATCACTTGTTATTTATTTCTCTGTTTCCATTAGATTGTGTTTGAAATTGTGTTCGGATACGGTTTTTAGAGTCGGGTTTGGGCTGGGTCATGGGCTGTGATGAATCAAGGCCAAGTTCTATTCGCTAGTCACCATGTCATGTCACGATATAAGTTTTGGCATAATAATGTTACAGTATGAAGAAAATTAGGTTTCTACCAAAGTGATTGGATTATTTTACATGCAATAAAATTAGACGGAAGAAGTGACATTTAATCAACCAAAGTGATTGAAGAATTGGAAATTCAAGGGCTAATAGATTATTTGTTGTTGCCATAATTAGAAAATGAATGTTTTGGACTGTTCGAATTATCCGGATTAATACAACTTTAATTTGGCATATCAATTTTGGGCTTGTAATAGATGGATTCGAAGAGAATGACGAGATTTACAATACTTGATGTTAGAGTCAAGTTACATTATAAATAGGTCATCTTGGACTTAGGTTTGTAATATTTCAACAATTACTTAATAAACATGAGTTTTCTCTCTATTTTCTAGTGAACTCTACGACTTGATAATGGATTCTAGCGTTGAGATTTCGTTCGATTTCTCTTATCAAATATCCTGCTGCATCAAGGATCTCCCTTCTCCTCTATGGAATTCACTATCAACACAGCGGACAATTGAATTAGTCTCATCTATTTTGGTGGAACTTTGGTTTCTCCAAATTCCGTGCAGAAATATTTGTCATTTTGGAAAATCTCATTTTAAAGTTGCCAAAAAAGTTACTTTGGCCATATGGGATTTCTTAGTTGCATGTGACCCCAAGTCCAATCTTGAAACCCAAACATACAGTCTCATTGGAGAAAGCATCCCAATTAGTTACTACCCTGAACCCCTCCAATTAGTAATCTTCAAATCCTTTGTGAAGTGAAAATCATCTCCCTGAGTACCTCTACAGTCTACTATGTGTAGATATTATTAACCAGTGCACGTTACCCATACATTTATATTACATATAAGATGAGAAGTCACGCAATGTCTTCAAGGTATTCCGTGATACTTATAAATTACTATATATTATTTTATATATTTAAATAAAATATAAGAAAAAAACTAGGTGAAATTAACTCTCCAGTACTCTCACGTTGTTGTGCATTATTTTATATATTTAGGGCCTCCAAGTTTGGTATGCATAGTATTTTGTCCCTTGCTTTTAAGTAGTTGCTTTGCAAGCTTGTAATCAAAGTAGCCAATAGATGGTTAACTCTAAAAATAATTTGTTGAGCATTTCAAGAAGTTCGGCATAAAGTGATCAGTACTCCAGATATATCCAAAGTCAAAGTCATAGATACATATACTACTAATTTTCTAATTTTGCTATATAATATGGTTTACTTAGGATTGTGGCCACAGGAGAATTGCTTTTGGAGACATAAGCTTGTGGCGAATCAGTTTTATTCCACAGATAGGGTTTCAGTCACGTTTCTCTACCCTAATTCGGCCGTGTAATTTACTTAATTAATTAAACTTTTACTTTATCATCATTTTAAAAGTTTTTATAATTTAGTAACTTTGAAAAAGTCATCGTGTTAATCTTTTGTTGCATTTGTATGATATACAAGAATTGGCTTCCTTAATTTCGTGCTAAAGAAAAGTTGTATATGCTTTGCTGCTTAAAAAATAATCCCACCCAGCTAGCTTGGCCCCGATACGATCGATAGGGCAATACCGTCGTATCTTGATGTACGCGGAGAAATGTTTTCTAATCGGTATTGTCAGACAAATTGATATATTTATTTTGCTTTTTCTTTGTATATTTAACTCACTAGTAATAAGCACCACCTAGTATCGAACTTTTACCACAATTATATGTTGCTTTACGTTAGATTTGGGAAAATCATGTATGATTGGTTAACATGACACTAACATGCACGAAAAATTCGGTGTTTTGAGCCTTAATGAATTATGTTGACAGGCTGATGGACCCGTTTAGAAATAGATCATGTTTGTATTAACACGCCAAACTCGTTAGTAACTATTTAATAAATTAAGTTATTGTATCCTATTATATGTGTATGCTATTGATTATATATTCTGGACATTTTCTTTGAATATATGTTTCTTATGTATTAACTTTTATTATTTGTTAAAAAAATGAATTTACAGTATAATTCTTAACAAGCGAAATGGATTATGTTACACTGTTACTTGTTTATTTTGAAGTTCATATTTGTGCTTGGATGCCCTCTAGTTTATTGTGGTTGTTTTCGTGTCAATCTTTAAGAAAAGAGTTTGTGTTCAACAGACTTTTTTTTTTCTTTTCCGAACAACGATATTATTTACATTAAAGAGATGGGATGAGCTTAGATTGCTTAGTCTCACAATTGGCTAGTAATTATGTAGTTCAAATTTGCCTTTGGCGTGAATCAAATCTATGACCTCTCACTTACAAGTAAAGAGGAATAACACAAAACTATAATACTAAGGTGTTCAACCCAGACTTGAAAACAAAAAAACATAACCTCATTTATGAGGTCTAGTAATGTGCAATAATTATTAATAATTACTGAAATAACACGGAAAAAAAAAAGAAAAAACTAAAAAGAATTTTGGTACCTTCTGGTTGGGAAAAATTTATAAGGAAATTGGTTATTCTCACCACCAGTGTTAAGATATACCTACAATCTCGAGTCGTAAGAACTTACACCTTCGTGGTACCCACCTGCCAACTGTCATCGATATGAATTTATGTATGAATTTACATATCGCGCACCAATGAAGCTGCTGATAACGAAACTCAAACCTTAACGAGGCGATGCACAAAAAAGGACTTTAACAACAAAGCCAACCATTGTCGGCTAGAATCTTGGTGACTTCATCTAAGGAAAACCAAGTATATATGTTTTGATATTCGTTTTCGTATAATCTCAATATATATTTGTTTAAGGGAAGAAAAGCAAGCACCTTCACTAACATACATTATATATGCTGCTTATTATGGTGATGGAATAGGATTGTATAAAAATAGGAGATTAATTAGATATAAATAGGAATCAACCCAAGGAGAAGAGAATAACATCTAAACTGGAATGAGACCTATAAAGAACCGAACGCCATTATCATTGAAAAGAATACACGAATTTCGGTCAGCATTAAAGCATTAAGAGAACCATGACGACGAAAATGAAAATGATCCGGTTCCGATACGCTCTTGGTAATTTGGTGTATCATTTCATTCACTCAACAGTATAAACCACTGACTCTCCCTCTCTTAACTGTGATATATATGTATGTATACACACAGAGTGATATAGTCGTACCTGTCAGTAGGTAGCATAGCGTATAAAGTGGGTGGCATCCCTTCTCATATCACATGCTTATTTTATTCTTCAACCTTTCGAGGACTTGAACCAAACAATCCATGCCTAAACGCTGTTTAAAACGCGTGGAGAAGACATTCATGTCTAACTTGGCTTGCTCAAGGAAGTAAAGTCTGGACGCCAACTTGTATATTTTTTTTCAAATAAAGTTAGAGGATGGAGAAATTCTGAAGAAAATTTATTCTCTTAATCTTCACAAAAACAGTAGGATTGAGAGGTATTCAAATTAAGCCAATCTTAGACATCGAACGTGAAGAAAGTTGAAGTTTCATCATACAACTACTTGACAATATAGGGAGTAACTCAATTTACTTATAACTTTATGCAAGGTCCTTATCCCATTAACGTGTGATTCACTTTCAACACGTCTCATCACGTGTGACAAATTTTCAAGCCTAACACGTGGACAACATAAACAGGATAACATGGAGCTTGCTCTGATACAATGAAAAAGTTGATGTTCCACTATAAAATTAATTGGAAATATATAGAGAGTAACTTAACTAATTTATAAACTCATACAAAATCACTCATTTCATCAATATGAGATTCATCCCAACAAAACTACCCCTCAAAATCTCAACTCACAATTATATTTGGCAAAATATATATTGACTAGGGATGGACAAAATACCCAAGGGTATGATTAACCGCGGTTATCCGTTCATTTAAAACTCACGGTTATGGTTATGGGTAACTATTTAGATAAATAAACGGTTATGAGTATAATCGTTTACCCGTG